GGCGAGCGCAGGTGGCACCCATGAGCCCACAGTGGGTGCTGGAGGACTGAAGGGCCTTACCCGAGAGGTCACCCAGCACCTCAGCAAGCAGCCACCGGTCGATGTGCTGGTACGTGATCCCGACCACGTGGCAGATGACTACGTGAAGACACAGAAGAGACAGATGTTGCAATTCGCACATGACCCAACGCCCCTCCCCACCGCAGCATGACTGGGGCTGAACCTGACCCACCTGCTGGATAGAGTGAGGTTTTAGTCCCAGGTGGATCAAGCCCGGGTTCAGCACCCGGCTCCCACGGGGACAACGTAGGAACATCCAGCCCCAAACTCCACGGCCCCGGCTTACCAGCCGACACGCCGGCCACTGGAAGGGTTTGGTGACCGGCCCCTGATCCCCACCGGGAAGGGGACACTGCAATCAGGGAACGGGGCGCACCGGGGCAGACAGTGACGTTATTAGCCAGACTTACACTTCCTAACGGAGTCTTCAAACCCCGTGATCCCATCCAGAAGCTCCATGTTCTCATCCAGGGCTTGCTGCAGAGGAAGGACTCGGCGTTAGCATGGGACAGTCACCAGCCAGGGAGCTGCGGGAACTACAGGGTGCAGCAAGGGCCACGGGGGACAAGGCAACGGGCCGACTAGTTCAGTGGCCAGTGGCAAATGCGGCAGAGAAAGGAGTCTGCCCATTTTGTTCTAAAGGTGACCCGTGGACATCCAGGTGTTAATTCCCTCCTGAGCCCATCCAGTGATCAGTCTACGCCGTAATGTAGGGTTCGTGTCCTAGGGAGCCCAGCTGCAAACCTCTGCTTCGTTAAAGGAGTGTGCACTCATGGTTAGAGCAGCGACGGGCACCAGGACTCCTGGTTCTAGCCCCAGCTCTGGGAGGGATGATGCCAAGTGGTTAGAGCAGGGGCTGGGAGCCAGGACTCCTGGGTTTTATCCCCAGCTCTGCACAGATTCTGAGCTCAAGTCACTTGCTGGGCCGGAGGCGCAAGTCATTCAGGCTGGCGAAGCCCAATAAGATTCAGGGGAGGGGACACTCACCCAGAAGGCCTGGAAGTGGCAGGTCTCCAGTAGCTCTCCCAGGTAGAGGATCTGCCTAATCGGCCTCTCTTCTTGCTGAGGTGCCGGGGTCAAGGGAAACATGCACGGGGGAGGGGAAGGAAACCGAGCCGGCAGGGCTGGAGCACAAGAGCAAGTCGCTCCTGTCCCTGACGCTCGTTACTGCTCACTCCTGGGAGCGAGGCCAGGGGGATGAGTGCAGCAGCCCAGTGCCTCCAGGAACAGCAGACATTTCCCTCTCCACGCCCCGCTGTCAGGAAGACGCTTAAAGCTCCCTGGGGTGGGGCCCAGCTGGGAGGGAAGGAGGAGAGCAAGTGGTAACCTGTTCCTCGGCACCAACCAAGCACCCACTGGGGAACTGAAACAGACGCAACAGAACGACACACAGGCAGAGCGGCCGGCTCAGGGGACTGGGAGACAAGGCTCCTCCCCCTCTAGGGCGCTGGTTCTGATCCAAGTCAGTATTGAGCGTCCTCAGTCGACCACCGTTCATTGGCTCGTCTCGAAGGAGCTCCCTGTTCACATCGCCTAAAGCCGCCACCACTCGCTCCTGGTCACCCTCAGAAGCCAAGAGCCGGTGGAGCAGGAACTTATTTCCCACTGTTGGGTGATCCCCTCGAGGCCAGAACAAGGGTGTGCATCCCATCATTGCCTGTGCCACCCCAATCTGTGGGGAGAGCCCTTCCGAGACCAGGGCAGTTGGACAGGCCGCTGGGTGCGAGGGGGGCATGCCAGGAAGAGGCTGAGTGCCCCAGGAAGGATACATGAGCCTGGTCGATCATACACTTGCAGAGGGTGAAGTCCGTGTGCGGCAGGTTGGTCAGGGCTTTGAGCAGGATCTGAGCCGTGACGGTGGTTTGGAAGAAAGCAGGATTGAACTGGTACCTGAGGACGGAGAGAGAAGAGGTCAGCAGCCCCAGGGCGCCCATCAAACCCAGGTTTATCGTCACGCAGACATCGGGAAATGCTGCACATCATTCATAGAGCCTAAGGCTGTGATCATCTGCCCCCCTGTATAGCCCAGAGTGCAGGACTGCCTGAAGTCAATTCCTCCCTGGCCTAGAGAAGCTTTTACAAAAGCAGCCAGTCCCAATTTCAAACCTGCCGGCAATGGAGAGTCCGCGACGGCCCGCGATAAGCTGTTCCAATGGCTAATTACCCTCCCTGTTAAAAGTGTCCATTTCCAGTCTGAACCTGGTGAGCTTCAACTCGCAGCCCTTGGTGGTGGCTAGTCAACTGCCCAGCCCTGATAACCGCCCTGAGTTTTAACCACGTCTCTGACCAGCTAGTGCTGGGGTTGGCTCCACGGGGCTCGTAGCCACATAAGGACTAATGATCACAGCAACTCTGTGCTGCCCCAGAGATGGGCACTTGCACAGGGGCGTCTCCCTGTAACTGGTGGGGCCCAGCCTTAGCCAGGAACCCTCAAATATGCCCACGTCACCAGCCCGGCTCTGCATGATCGTGCACAGGTCTTGCCCCCTGGCATGAAGCAGAGATGAGGGGTGCCCCCTCCACTCACAGCTTGAGCACGGCCAGGTTGGCCTCCAGGTCGTAAGCGTTCTCCTTGGCCTGCGTCTCCACGTAGCGCTCCAGTGTGGCCAGGTTCTCGGGGTTGTACCTGAAATGCAGAGGGGTCGGTGAGACACTCAGCAAAGCCCATGGGAGGTAGGAGGGGGCCAGTGTTCAACAGATCCCCTGCCACCCCGAGCTCGCCATCCGCACGAGAGCCTCTCCCCCACACCAGACCCCCACCTCCAGCCGCCCCCACGTCCACCAAGCCCTGCTTCCCCTCCACCCCCATAAGGCCCCCTGCTCCTGCCCACCCAGCCACTAGCTCCCAGGCCCTTCCTCTGCCCATACTAGACACCCCCTCCAGATAATCCCTACACCCCAGCCCCCCCACCTCAAAACCCAGCCCCAGCCCTTTCCTCTGCTCCCCATCCCAGCACCTGCCCCAAGAGCACCCAACCTGTATTGGGCACCCCCCACACACTGCCAGCCCACCCCACCCACTCCCCTCAGCCAGCCCCAGCCCCCCCAGTACCCATCCCCCGCCCCAGCCAGCCCCAGCCCTCTCCTCCGCCCCCGCATCCCAGGCACCTACCCCAAGGCCCTGAGAGCACCCCCCAGTGCCAGCCACCCCCCGCTGCCCCCTCATCCCCCACTGCCCCATCCCCACCAGCCAGCCCCCCCGTACCCATCCCCCCCAGCCAGCCCCAGCCCCACCGCTACCCATCCCCCTCACCCAGCCCCTGCCCGCCCCGCGGTACCGGTCGATGCCCTTGAGCAGTTTGCCCACGTTGGCCCGCATCTGCTCGAACAGCGCCATGGCGCGGGGGGGCGGGGCCGGGGGTGGGGGCGGGGCCAGGGGCACGGGCGGCCGGGACGCCGTCGACTTCCGCTTCCGCCGGCCGCCCTCGCGAGGCATGATGGGAAGGGCGCAGGCGCCGGGGAGCGAGCGCCGAGGCGGCGCCCCCGCCCGCCATATCCGCCCTCTGGCCCCGCCCCTGCGCGGAGGCCCCGCCCCCATACCAGGCC